ATCTATCGTGTACTCACATTAAAGAAGGTACTGATACAGTTCCAAATCTGTTAATGATATTAGAGACTCCTTTTTAAATTTCTACTTGTCTTCAGTGCCGTCAATAATTGGATAGACAGATGGATCTGCTTTGCTCTGGATTTGAAGTTTGGGAAATAGGCTCATCAGAAATATCAGTACACTCAGCCATTCATTCAGATATTTATAAGAGTTAATAGAATCTTGAAGTACACACTCCATTGAAGTCAGTAAATTAATGATAAATGGGATAATTTGAAGTTTAGCACTTTCCATATTTCAGCCATCTTCTTACCTACTCCTGAACATATCTAATTTTTATTTCTAATTTCTCTCTATTTCTTCTCTCAAGAAAACAGAGGGCCTTTTATCTTGGATAGGAGGCGGAAACTGGACCCTCATAATTGCTGATTATTTCCTGTTGTCACATTCTTCCCTTGTCACTGTGTTTGTTGCCTCACCTCACATCCTCTCCTCACAGAACTGCCACTGGTGTTCTGCTCCAATGCCTCAGCAACATTACCAGTGGCTGCCTAGTTGCCCTCATGAGAATGTTTTGGTAACCTTGTTTCACCTTTCTGAAGTGTTGGATCATGCTCTCCCCAGAGCTGCTGTATGCATAGATCTCGTACAAAGTCACTGTTGGTAAGTGCTGCAGCCTCACCCTCTGGGTCCAGATTCTCCTGCCCCCCACACCTCACACTCCATCATAAAAAACAATTCGTACTTTGAGAGTTTGTATCTTTTCAAATTGAAGCCAATTGTCTGCCACAAACTTAAGAAGCATCTGGAATTGCTGAAGCTCCCATACTTTTCATGTCTAGCCCTGTGTCTGAGTCTTAATAGTTATGTCTATGGTTTCAGATTCATTTTCTCTGCTCCATCTGTTCAGATACTACCCTGAGGCTGGTCTTTGTCATCTCCAGACTGGATTGGAGGGTCCTCAACATTCTCACTGTCTGTCTTTCATGTCCCTCTAAACTCTATCCACCACCCCGCCACCCATGTGACTTTATGCACATACATCTGATCATTTCACTCTTCTGCTCAAAAAGTTTCCATGCCAACGCTTTGCCAATAAGTTTATATCTAAACTCCTCTGCAAGTTTCACAATATCTTTAAGACCTGGCTGTTGCCTGCTTACTCACTTTAGCTGTTTTATAATCTCCCTGCTGCTCCTACTCTTCACTCTGTGAGTTAGTGTTCTCACAACTCTCATTGTGTACTTGTATAACTCAATCGAACATTCTGATCACGGGGCCAAATTCCTTAGACAGGTCTAGGATCCCTTACACATGATGAACCTGCATTGAAAGATCTCCACATCTGTATTTCTCATTTGCATACGATGATCTTTGTATATTACAAAAGGGATAAGAATACATAGCTAACTGGGAGAGGTTCCTCCTCTAACATAGAATGACAATTTCAGGAAACAAGGAAACTATATAGACAAGTGGAGGAGATTAGGGGAAGATATTAAAATCTGAGGGGAGATTCCAGTTGAATTAAAAAAAATTGATAAAATTTGTCTTATTTGTCTTCGACACATAGAATTCTCTCCGCAATTCTGAATAACATTAGATGAAGTCAAGAGAGAATCTTGATAATCAGTATTATCTCTGCCTCTTAGGTTTTGTGGCAAAATTTCTTCACCCACTAACTCTCTTCACGTGGGGCTGGGATCTGTGGTTTGGTATAATCCTGGCTGTCATGGGTTAGTGGTACCTCCTTATTTCATGGTCACAGCATCGGGCCATGGCTGATGCCCTTAGGCCATCTCTGCAGGTTCAGCCCACCTCTTGGTTTTGCAGACTCTCCCTTGGATTTATCTCCTCAGAGCAAGTCTGCTTAAAATAAAACTCAAGGCAATCTAAAACAAGATTAAAGCAAACTGAAGAGATTATGATTTAAAAAAAGGGAGGAGGGGGTGATAGGCCATATGGCCGGTCTCAGCATGGCCTTGTAGACACATGAAGACATTTTACGACAGTGTCTGTGGCATATAAACAGCCTTCTCCATGACTCCAGCTGCCGGTTCCCCAGAGAACTCCAGGGGTCATCCCCGAGAGACACGGTCTGATGCTCGGGGAGTTTGGCATTTACTGAGAGAGGGCAGCAACCTCACACCAGAGCCAGAATCCCACAGTTTCCCAGGCTGGGGAGGGAAAGAAGGCAGGAAGTATTGAGAATTGCAGCTGTAATAGAAGCTGTAACCTGGGGATTCAAGACTCCCCCAAACACTTCAGCGCACACATCATTGGGCCTGGTCCAGGGAAACGGCTGTGCTGTTAAAAGAGTAAGTGCATGTTGCTGTGGTGCAGTTAATTGAAGAGGCATGACATTAGGGCAGATGAAGGTCCCGCCACAATTAGAAGACAGGCTACTTAACAGCCAATAGCCATGGCCTTGAATGAGGAACTGGAATTCGGCTACTTGGCATTTCTCTCACCAGAGATCATAATGGATTAATTAAAATTGTATAAGGATAAAAAAGATGCCCAAGGTAGACATAAAGCAACACAGAATTGTGCTGAATAGCATGATGAGCACGGCAGCCCAGGGCTTGCTGCATTCCCAACTGAAAGTGCCAGAGTGAAGGCCACCAGTGAGCTCGCCCAGCTGTCCCCTGGCCTTTCCCTGGGCCTTGACTTTGAAGGGCTGCAACTTCACCGCCTGATCACATTGGGCTGCAGAACACATTCTTCACCTTCAATGCTCACTTCAAAGGTAGCCTTTTTCTTTCACCTCTTTTTCTGCCACCTCATTTCCTGGGCTGATTCTGCCTCCTGAAATGGCTAAATTTTTCATGTTACCCACCCCGAAATGCAAGTTGATGGTTTGCAGATGGTTTTGCATCTTACAGAAGAAAACACAGCCATTGTCTGCAAGCCTCTCATTAAGTCTCAAGCATAGCAAAAATTATACGACAGAAAACAAAAACAAAACAAAACATGGACTTGCAGGTCAGATAGACCTGGATTCTACAACTTACCAGCATAAATCATTGATTATTCATCTTCTGTTGAAATGGAGCTAAGGGAGCACCCACTGCACAGGGTTGTTGTGACGAATAAAGGAAGCAACGCGATCTAAAACACCCAACATGAAAACAACGTACACAAGGCCTGGTAGCTAATACAAGTTCAGTAAATGTCATTTCCCCTTTCTTCTCATCTTTTGGTGTAGAGCGATCAAAAGTGATAAGATCATGTGTCCCTAATCAAAGTTGAAACATAATGTAAATCTGTTACCACAACTGCCCTCAAAGAGCTTAACAGATGGACTTTAGCAGCTTCTCCCTGTCATTTCTATGGTACTAGGACAGTGAAGATGAAGAGGGTAAGGACATAAGATGCCTGAAGAGCAAGGAGAGTGCCTTGCTCAGCATACTTGATGGTTGACGCCTCCGTGGATGAGGGGTTCATACCATCCTCCAGGCTTGGTTCTGTCTACACGGGAGAGAGTTGAAAGGCAACCTCCAAAAGTCACCGGTGTTTGCCCCACGTGTGGCACTCAGCAGAGGCAAGATGAACTCTTAGAAGATGTTGTAAAAAGGATGTGTACATAGATAGAACCTCATCTAAACGTAGACCTACAAAGTTTCTTGAGACCAGAAATTTGATGCTTTTATAGCTTGGGTCAAGCGATAAGTAGAAGCATATTCTGAGGAACTGAAGAACCAGAAAGCACTCACTTTGGTTCTTTGGTGCCCTGTGTATGAGGCATGGAGTGGAGGAGTTAGCACAAATGGACTTTGCATAAACTATTATCAGGTGTCTACCTTATTTATAGTGAGGGAGGTCAAGTCACCAGGGCTCTGACTTACAGTATGAAAGGATATTTTCCTGGTTTCCAACTGCCTTAGAAATACCAGAGTCAGTAGTAAGAACCATGTACATGAAGCCTCTTTCAAAGGTAGGTCTTCATTTATGCTCTTGGTGGGGTTGACTATGTCTCCTTATGTAAGAAGTATAGGTGTCTCTTCATGTGGAAATTTGTCAAAATGTGAACGTCTAAAACTTGGAGCCAGAAATTTGAATCTTGTGAGTCTTTCATTTGGGTTACCATGATTTATCTCTAGGAGGCCCTAGTTACCTTGGAATATGATAACTGGTAAGGAGAGAAGTTAACACTTAGACATCCATTTTTAAATATAGACATTTTTGTAATTAGAGGACACATACTGATGCCCATAAGATTGTACAGGAACTTAACTGATTTAGAGCAAGCTCAAAGAACATAAATTCAAATGTGCAGCAATTTAGGCCTACTTCTTTGGAGAGAGTAAAAGTTTAACCTTATAACTAATAATATTTCTTTGGAGGATTTATATTAGGTTGTTCAGTTGGCTTTTTATTGTGCTAGGTAGGTACCATAGTATTTGTTTATTTGTGTGTTTGTTTATTTGAGGCCTGGGTTAATGGGCAAGGTAAACAATACAAAAGATGGACGAATTTTATCATTTATTATTTGAAAATAAGCTAGAAGGACTAACATATCCCAGATCTATGTATCAAGTACCAGTAGCAGCTCACACAAGCAATTTAGTAAGGTACCAGGAAACTATTCTCTCATATATTCTGGATTATATATCTGTTTTCAGTAATAAAAATCTGGGATAAAAATTGAAATTCACAAGGAAAAGTTTAAACACTGAGTCAGTATTAAGCTCTTCAATTTTGTGTATGCTAATTAAAAAAAAAAAAACAATTTTCCTGAACCACAAGAGAAACTAGGAGTTTGAATTGAATAGATACAAAATGAATGAATAATTTTCAGAATCAAGGAACTTCCAGGAGACAGTATTCTGGATATTGTTGGCTAAATCTGGGTAGAGTTTTAAGAAGCCAGTGGAACCATGAGTGCTCTAGTCTAGAATATTCCAAGGGTGAGGGGGAGAAGAGAGCACATCTTCCAAAAGGGGTTAGGCTTAGAAAACACATTGTAACTCTTTCAATTTATTTATTTATTTTTTTACCTTGACTGTGGACTGTGCAATGAACATCATTCTCCACTCTGCTCTTTCTGGGTTTCCAGACAGTGGCAATTTTGATGACATGCTGCGATTGTGTCTGCTGCACACAGGGACCTCAAGATTCTGAGTCTTCAAAGTCACACATGGCCCACTGCCCAGCTCCTAGTGTGCACTCCTACCTCTCCGCCTGAGGCTCTGGGGCACACACAGCAGTCCTTAGTATGTGCAGGTGGACAGCAAGTCCCTTTAAAACTGCTTGGCATGTTGTATGCATACAGGTGGAAAGAGCAGTTAAATAAAACATATGAGCTTCGTCATCCTTGCATTTCTTCCCTCCTCCCCTCTCCCGGTGTTCTTGGTGCTGCACAGTGACTCTTTTCCATGGAAAACAGCTAGACTGACCTTTTCAGTGTTGTTATTCCACAATACCTCTAGGCACTAGTCTGTCTTCTAGAAAAATAACCTAATAAAACCTCAGGAAGGGATTTAATGGCAACAGGGAAAAAAAAAAAAAGAGTAAAGAGTGAGATGAGGCCAAGACTCAAATAGGAGTGGAGCAGGGAGGGGAGGGAAGTGGACACTCACAAAGGCAGCAAAAGACAGATACACTGACTCATTTAGTAGATGGGGGATCTCTAAGCTGCAAGGAGAGCAAGGACAATGCAAGCAAGTGAGGAAGAGGCATTATCAATACTTGGTATAAAAGATTCCCTAACAGGCATTGTACCTCTGACTCAAGACATCTGTTCTTCTCTCCTTCCCAAAGAACTCCACCATAATTTATGACACATTATTTTCTGTATTCCAAGAGGCATTGGTAATTACTCTCAGATCTACGCTAGAGAGTATTTTTTCAAAAGAAATATATAAACCCAGTCTAATGAGAGCAGAATCTCAGTGATTGCTACCATTGTGTTCCATGCAAATGCTGCCTGCTGGATTCATCTATCTGGTTTATGGTACAGCAATATATAATGTTTATTCAAGCATTCTTTCATGTAACATAAATTTATGAGCACCTACTGTGTGTAGAAGATAATGATTGCTGCCCTGGAGGAAGTCACAATCTGTTGTGAGAAGTAGGAATGTGAATAACTATAATAAAAAGATTATAATTGCAGTACTGGCTATATGAACAAAGGGTTGTGGGCAGGCAGGAGGGATCATATTCATTTGTTCTTCCTGAAAGCAGGGAAAAAGTCACCAAATATATTTCAGAGGAGGTGAATCATGAGCTGGTTTCAAAGGACACAAATGATTTTGTTAGGGTAGGAGAAAAATATATATTTCTGGAGACAGAAATAGTATAAACATTGGCATGGGTATGTTGGACACACATGAGGGAATTGTGTAACTGAACATAGGATGTGATATGAAGAGGGATGGAACTGTTCGCAGATGTGACTTGCATGGTAGATTAAACCCAGGTTGCAAATAAACCAATGGCTAAGCAATGTCAAATATGTCCATTAGCACCAGGCAGTCAATGAAAGGGTAGGAACAGGAGTAGCATCAACCAAACTCTGTTAGAAAGTGCGCTGGCAGCTGGTAGAGGAGAGTGGGTATCGCTGGAAACAGAACAATTGAGCCAGTTGTGGCATATCCCAGGAAAGAGGCTGGACACTGAAACTGGGAAAGATGGCAGAGAGGCAGGTTGACACAGGAAGATGCATCTAATTCAACTTGTAAGTTTGGCTTTGGAGTCCTGTTGGAATAGTCTGAGTCACTATAAAGCAATATATAACCTAATTGGGAGAACACAGGGAAGTAAGTGTCTTACAAAAGAGAGGAGTCACACATATGGGCTTCAGGTGAAAGAGCATTTTATTATGTGAAAAAGATGGTCCACTCTACTTGGGAATATGTGGTTTTAAGAACCTGGGCTCTTGAACCAGAAGACATAGGTTTGAATTCATTTCTACCACGTAGTAACTGGGCAACTTGGTCAAGTTACCTAATATTTCAGTGCTTTACCTTGCTCATTTGTGAGGTGAGAATAACCCTAATACCTTTCATCAACACTGGGACCGTGAAGAGGATTAAATAAAATGATACATATCAAATACTGGAGGAGAGTGTTTGCCACTTTAAAGACAAAGGCTCAATAAAAATCAGTTGTTAAAAGCAGAAGTAGACGTTCCAATCACAAAGACACATCGATAGCTCATTCTCTTTATCCTAAAGAATTCAGATTATGTTTTTTTTTTTAATGGACATAGTATCCCAAGAGGATCAATTAAAGATAGAAGCAGCATGCTTTTTTTAAAAAAGTGTCACTTTTTTTTGACACAGAAATTTTATATTCAAAAAGTTTATTTCACCAGTGAAAATGGGAGAGATCAATGCCCACAGAAAGTTGTGCAGTTGGGCATCCACTCAAACGCCCAACCTCAACTCCGCCATGAGGAATAGAGATTCTTGACACCCAGGCCAACGCAAATCACATATGCATAAAAGCAATGCCTGTTACAGCTGACAGCATTGTCCCAAATTGTAAGGAAGCAGGGAGGGTGTTAAAGGTAGCAGGAGAAAGTCTTTGTTAAAACGCTAATCAGCAGGAAGACCTTGGGAAAAACTAAAAAGAAATTAACAGGAGAGCACAATCTTGCTGTATAGCTACCGCCTCAAAAAATAGGATGCAATTAAGTGCTTCTAACAAGGCTCCAGTAGTCAGACGGTAAGTGTAGAAAGACCAGCTTAATGAAATGTCATGGGGACACTGCTTATAACAATCATATGCCCTGGATGCCAAATGGAGCTTTACCTGCTGGAGAAACAGTTACAGAGGAAAAGAACACAAGCTTGCCAGCTGTTAGGAAATAGAACAGAATGAGCCCAGGGCTCTAGGGGAAGGTGGAAAATTAACGCAGCCTCTGTGTCTTGTTATGTTTTCCTTACCCCTGTGCTTTTCTCTCCTGGATTTAAAATTGAACATTTCCCACTGGATGGGGGAAGGGAGTGTCTTTCAGAAAAGTAGTATTGGACCCAGTATCCGAATATTGCAAATGTGGAGATCAGGTTAGGAATAAGAGTCAGGGATGAGGTGCAGCTTGCAAGCCTTTGTAATAACTATCATTATTTGTGTTGCTATTTGTCTTGAACTCACAATTTATAGTCCTCGGGGGCCAGTTAACTTACTTTGGGCTTCTGGCTCTTTTAGGTCTCATCTCAAATGAAACAGGTCAGAGAGGTCTTCTTTGAATGCTTTGTCCAAAATTGTCCTCACTCAACCCCCCAGGGACTCCCTAGCCCAATACCCTGCTTCATTTTTTTCATAGCATTTTTAAGTTTATAAAATATTATTTGTTTGTTGATTATTTACTGATATATTATTTTTCCTGCTCACTAGGTTACTACCTCCATGAGAATAGAAGACATGTATCTCTATTTTGTACATTACTGTGTCCCCAATCATTAGTGCAGTACCTAGAATCTATTCTACACTCAAGAAATAAATTCAGAATGAATTTTTGACCTATAAATGTCAGTGATTTCTTCATGTTCTCCATCAGTATTTCCTACTCACAGGTCCTTACATTCCTTCTACTCTCTCAACAAGTCTACTTGCCTCTTGTTTGTTTCTTTTAAACCTGACTTTTCCTTGCTTACAATGACCCTGTTTTGAGTCCATATTTTCTGGCTTTTCTGTTCAGAATCTTTAAACAAACTATTCATTTTCCTGATGTAATCCATTTATACCTCATCATTCTCATCAATATATAAATGTGCTATTTTACTCCCAGCCCTAAAAACAAACAAAACCACACCCCCTCTAACTACCACCAGATTCTTCCACTTGTTTGTACAGAAAAACCATTTATAGAGTTGTCTTTACTCGTTGCTTTCACTTTACCTCCAATTTTTCCTGGAAATTGCTTTAATCAGGACTTACTGTTCACCCCTTTTATAAGACATATCATCAAGATTATCGATGACCCCATATTGTGGAACCCAATATTCTCTCCTCAGCCCTCATCTTCTTAGACTTTTCAGCAACATCTGGCAGTTGAACAATTCCTCCTTTTTAAAAAAAATAAAATTCATTAAGATATAATTAATTCACCATAAAATGTATCCAATGCAAGTGCGAACTTTGAAGAATTTTGACATATGGATACACACAAGTGTAATCTACATATCTACTAAAACAACCAAAATATAAACATCCCCAAAGTTCCCTTATGCCTTGTCCTGATTTTGCCCCACTGTCAGCTTAAGGCAATCATTAATCTGTTTTCTGTCACTATATTAAATATGTTTTTACAGATTTTCATATAAATGGAGTCATATGTTATGTACGTTTTTGCGTCTGCCTGTGTTCACTCATATATTTTAAAATTCATTCATTTATTGTGTTAACTGGTAGTTCATTACTTTTTATTGCTGAATAGCATTTTATTGTTTGGATATACCTCTTTTTAAAATTTATTGTCCTGTTGATGAACATTTGGATTGTTTTAATTTTGAGGCTATTACGAATAAATAGAATGGTCATGTACACATGCAAGTTTTCATGTGGACAGAGGTTCTTGTTTCTATTGTATAAACACCTAGGAAAAGAATTCTGGGCCATATGGTAGGTGTATGTTTAACTTTATGAGAAACCATCAAACAGTTTCCAAAATGGTTGTACTATTTTCCTTTCCCACAAGAAGAGTTACAGTGGGTCCACATCCTCTCCAAAACTTGGTATTGTTAGTCCTTTAATTTTAGCCATTCCAGAGAAGGTATAGTTGTATTTTATTTTGGTTTTAATTTACATTTCCCTAGTGAATAATGATATTAAGAACCTTTCAATGTGCTCTTGAGTCACTTCTGTAACTTTTTTGTTTATTTATATTTTCAAATATTTTTCTATTTTTTAAAAAATTAAGTTGTTACATTATTGACTTCTAAGACACCTTTATCAGTTATGGCTTTTTAAAATGTTTCTTCCGGTTTGTGGTTTGCCTTTTCACTTTCTTAATGGTGGTTTTTGAAGAGAAAAAATAAAATCAATTTTATGAAATCTAATTTATCAACATATTCTTTTATATTCTGTATTTTTTATGTTCCATATAAGAACTCTATGCTTAACTCAAGGTCAAAATGATTTTCTCATTCTTATACTAAAATTTTTATAGACTTTAGCCTTTGTGTTTAGGTCTATGAGTGATTTCAACTTATTTCCATGTATAGTGCAAAGTAAGAATCAAGGTTATTTTTTCCCATATGGATAACCAATTGTTGGAGCAAAATTTGTTGTAGAGACTATTCTTACATCATTGGATTTTCTTGGAACCTGTGTTGAATAAATTGGCTGTTTATATGTGAGTTGTTTTGATGTGTTTCTGGGCTCTCTATTTTGTTCCGTTCATCTACATGTCTACACTTTAGCCTAACATCACAATATCTTGATAATTTAGCTTTAGAATAATTCCTTAATTCAAGAAACTTAAATCTCCAATTATGTTCTTTTCAAAATTTTATTGGCTATTCAATATTTGCATTTCAATATAAATATTAATATATACTGATCAATTTCTAGCATACCCTCTAAAAATAAAAAAATAGTCTGCTGGGATTTATATTGTATTGAGATTTTACATTTGAAATCATATTAGATGTATAGATAATTTGGGGGATATTAACACATTACAACAGTGAGTATTCTGAGATAGGAACATGGTGTATCTTCTCATCAAGGTCTTTGAAAATTTTATTTAGTGATGTTTTATAATTGTTAGTGTAATGATCTTATATGTATTTTCTTAAATTCATCTCTAGGTATTTCATGTTTTTAAGGCTATTATAAACGCTACTCATTTCCTTCATTTCTATTAAATTATCAGTTGCCAGTATATACAACTACAATTGACTTTTGTATATTTACCTTATAGCCCGAAAATTTGTTAAACCAAGTTATTAGTCCTATTGGCATTTTTTTTTTTTTTTTAGATTCTATAGGAATTTCTATATGGACAAACTTGTCATTTCAAATAAAGTTTTACTTCTGCATTATCAATTTATATCTTTTATTTTCTTGCTTTATTGCACTTACTAGGATGCCTTGTAAAATATTGATTAGTGGCAAATGAAAATATCCTTGTCTTCTTTCAGAACTTAGAAACAATCAGACTTTCTCCAGTGATGCTGATAGTAGCTCAGTTTTTCATAAATAGTCTTTATTGGTTTAAAGTATTTCCCTTCTATTCTCAAGTTTATGGCAGTTATTATCATTGATGGTTGCTGACTGAGTCTATTACTTTTTTCTTCACTTCAAAGGGAATTATTATATGCCATTTCATTTTACATTTTCACTTTACGTATGTATGCATATATGTTTTTAGATAGTTAACTAGCTAATGTGGTAATTATGAGTGTGAAATTGACCTGACATCCCTGAAATAAACTAATTTTGGCTATTGTGTACTTTTTATACTGGTTTTAATTTGTTACTGTCATGTTAAGAATCTTCTCATGTCTGCACAAAGAATATGTGCTGGTGATTTACTGTTCCTGTATCTTTTTCTGTGGTTTTGGTATTGTAATAATAGCCGCATGAATTGAGTTGCGAAGTGTCTTCCTCCTTTTCTATCTGATGCAAAAATCTCTTTAGAATAAGCATTATTTATTTCTTAAATGTTTACTAGAATTAACTAATTATGCAGTCTCACCTACAGTTTTCACTGTGTGAAAATTTTAGCTATGAAATGTATTTATTTAATAGATGTATGGCTCTCTAGATTAATTTTTTTTCTCCTTTGTAAACTTTGACTGTTTTTGTCTTTCAAGGAATGTTTCCATTTCATCTAAGTCATCATTTTTTAAAAATCAGGCTATTCTTAATATTTCTTTATTATCCTTTTATTTTCATTAGGTTCTATGGTGATTTCACTTCTCACATTTCTGATATTCGGTAACTTGTGATGCTATGTATGGATTTTTTTTCCTTGACCTTATTAAAGGTTTTCCAATTTTGTTGATTATTTTCAAGGAATCAGCTTTAGTTTTAATTGATTTTTCTCTACTGTTTGTATGGACTATATATCTTAATTTTAGCTTTTTTAAAGATAATTATCTTTTTTTAAAATTTCAGCATATTATGGGGGTACAAATGTTAAAGTTACATATATTGCCCCCCCCCGAGTAAGAGCTGCAAGCGTGTCCATCCCACAGATGGTGCACATCGCACTCATTATGTGTGTATATACCCATCCCCTCCTCCCCTCTCCCACCTGCCCGACACCCAATAAATGTTACTCCTACACTTAGGTGTTGATCAGTTAATACCAATTTGCTGGTGAGTACATGTGGTGCTTGTTTTTCCAGTCTTGAGATACTTCACTTAGTAGAATGGGTTCCAGCTCTATCCAGGAAAATACAACAGGTGCTATATCACCATTGTTTCTTATAGCTGAATAGTACTCTGTGATATACATGTACCACATTTTATTAATCTAGTCATGTACTGATGGGCACTTTGGTTGTTTCCACATCTTTGCAATTGTGAATTGTGTTGCTATAAACATTCGAGTGCAGGTGTCTTTTTTATAAAGTGTCTTTTGTTCTTTTGGGTAGATGCCTAGTAATGGGATTGCTGGATCAAATGGTAGATCCACTTGTATCGCTTTAAGGTATCTCCATATTGCTTTCCACAGAGGTTTAATTCTTTATTTTATATTTTTCTTCTGCTATATGTGGGAATAATTTGTTCTTTTCCTAATTCATTATTATGGAAAATAAATCATTGATTTGAGCTTTTCTTCTTTCCCAATAAAAGTGTTTAACTCTTTAAACTTCCATATTATGGCTTCTATAGCTGCTTTATATCAATGCTGACATACATTGTGGTTTTATCTGGTCAATTCAAATTATTTGTACATTTCTTTATGATTCCTTTCTTTGACCTACAGATTACTTAAAATGTAGCATTAATTTCTAAATATTGGAATTTTTTCCCACATGACACTTTTTAAAATAGCTTTTCTTTGTCACACAATAACAAAATTCTTAAGTGTACAATTAAATGATTTTTAGTAAATCGACATAATTTTGCTACCCTCACCACAATCCAATTTTAGAACATTTCCATCAAACCAAGTTATCCCTCATGACCATTTTTTTTATTGTGGTAATAAAACACATAACATGAGATCTACATTATTAGCAAATTTTTCAATGCACAGCACAGAATTGTTAACTATATGAACATTGTTGCTTAGCAGATCTCTAGAACTTTTTCATCTTGTGTGGCTGAAACCCTATACCCATTGCATAGAAAATCCCTGTTTCCCCCTCCAGCCAGCCCCCCCAACCACCATGGTACTTTCTGCTTCTATGAGTTGAAATACTCTATAGATACCTCACATAAGTGGAAACGCAATATTTGACTTTCAGTGACTGGCTTATTTCACTTAGATAATGTCCTCAGGAACATGTGCTCATCCACATCGTAGCATATAACAGGATTTCCTTATTTTTTAAGGCAGAATAATATTCCATTGTCTATATATACCACGTTTCCTTATTTATCCATTAATGGACACTTAGGTTCTTTCCATTTCTTGGGTATTAGGGATAACGCTGCAATGAACAAAGGAGTGCAAATATCTCTTTGAGATTCTGTTTTCAATTATTTTAGGTAAATACCAAGAAGAGAGATTGCTGAATCATGTGGTCATTCTACTTTTAATTTTTAATTTCTCCATGTTGTTTTCCATAGCTGCTGTACCATTTTAAAGTACCATCAACAGGGCACAGGGCTCTAGTTTTTCGCCACATTTTAGTTTATTATTTTATTTATTTTTGGTTTCTTTGGTTGTTTTTGATAATGATTATCCTAACGGGAAGGAGGTGAAATGTCATGGTAAATTTTGGTTTGCATTTTTGTAATGAATAGTGATGTTGAACATCTTTCATAGACCTGTTGACTATTTTGTTGTTGTTGTTGTTATCTTTGGAGACATGGTCTATTTAGGTCTTCTGCCCATTCTTTAATTTGATTTTTATTTCTTTGTTTTGTTATTGAATTGTGGGAG